GCCCCTCTGCGTTACTGCTTGCCAAAAGGCTTTCAAGGCCAGCCCGAGTCCAAAGATCCAAAGCAAGAGGCAAGATCCAGAAGCCAACACTTCACCAACAACCTTCAAGTATCAGCTACCAGAAGCAGAAATTAAAATCCTGGAGCAGATACATCTGCCCAAGTCTTAGAAGGAGGAAGAAGTGACAGATCTCACCTCTTCCCTGGGTGGGAAAGGAAGAATTCGGGCCTCGTGGGCACTCCAAACTAGGTCACCTGTATGGTTTATAGGCCATGTTCACCCACAGAGAGGAAAAAAACCCCACACCACCATATATGTTTACAGTCATAAGGGTCTGTGGCAAGACACCCACATTTAGGATATGCAACGTAGCTATGACATTAGAATAAAGATGTAATATTTTCATTACACAGTAATAGTGGAACATTGCTCTGTAAGCACCCAGGCATCCGCAACAGCAGAACTGGAACATACAGTACATTTATTGTAAATAACTGTGTCCAAGACTATGCAATGTTTAAATACAGATAGCCAGAATTAGCTCTATCACACCCCCTCCCTTTTTTTGGTCTTACTTAGGAACCAGAAAGACGTTTAAAGCAAAATGTTGAACTCTTATCAGTTCCGCTGCAGTTTATTCACATTATCCATGTGAATCCATTAGCAGACCTTAGTAACCTTAGTACCCTAGTAACCTTGTCACTTAAGAGAGGAGACAGTGACAGAGTAATTTTTTAAAATGTTTTGTTTGGAGGGTTTTTTTTTTAATTGTTTTTATCTTCCCATGCAAGCAGCTCAATATCTTGTTTCCATAGTTTAAAAAAAGACAGTGAAAGAAAGCTCAATGCCAACAACAGGAATCTGAAACATCCCATATTAATGGCTCAAAATTGCGTTAGGATACACCCCCTTGAAATGAAGCTCTGAAAGACAGTTTGCACAATTGCATTCAACACAGACAAACATTTGGATTTTCATCTTGCACTGTACCTTGTCATATTTGCTACTGGAACCAAAGCCAAAAATCAGAAGGTGACCGTGAGAATCTGTACATGCAAAATGCTGTCCATCAGGAGAGCACTTGCAGTCAAAAACTGCACCATGTCCTTGTCCTTCAATCTGAAATACATCAACATACAAAATAATTAAGTTACCATAAATAAATAATTTTAAATTATGATTGTCAAAACTGTGGTGCTGATGTTGAAATTTATTATAAGAACTGCAAGACAGTATACTGCTAGATGGAAGTTACTTTAAAACATAGTTTACTTTTTAGCTATTCACTTTTCAGTGAATTTTGCAATAATGCTCATGAAAGATGCCAAATTGATAGTAGTAGAAACTGAGAGACTTTATCCACAAAGCAGGCACTGTACAGGAAGTGAAAATAAAAGCTTCCCCTTGAACGTCCTGCTTATGAGCCTAACCAGAGAGCTGGGTCCAGTTCAGGGCTTTAGTCACTACACCCTTGCGGTCCTCTGCCTTGTTGCTAAGCTAGCCCAGTAGCATTGGCTGCTGCGGTGTTTCACAACACCTGCCCGCTAGAAAACGCGCTGACATAGACAACCCACATTACACAACTTAGCAACTGCCTGTTTCTGGAATTCCTACTCCTGATTTATGGGAGGGGGGGAGCTGTAGATTGGTGTAAAAACTCCACTTTTTAAAGGAGAACTGCAAAGATTTTAAAAAATGAATTTTTACCTGATACTCATTTTCTGTTTTCCAGTTCCATTAAGCCAGAACAAATGGGTTTTTGTTTTTCCCTGCAACCTGTCAATCAAGCAGAGGTGACCAATCACCACTCTGAATTTTCATGTCTTCAGCACCTCTTCAGAAAGCCCCTTTCTATTCTCCCCAGCAAAGCACTTTTGTATTTTAAGAGACCCCAAACCAAATTCTTCCCCTAACCGTGGCAAGCCTATATACTGCCAGAACAAACAAAGGTGACAGCAGTGACACTATGCACTTCTGTAGCCCCTTCCAGAGGCCACCAACGTTATTTTAAAGAGTTAATGAACCAAGCCTCCAAAAACCTGTGGGGTAGGTACTGTTCTCGCTATCTTACAGGCTTGGACAAAGCCAAGAAGTCCGTATCTTTTGCCCACCGTCTCACAGCACATCCACACCCACACCCCTGCACACCCCCCACGGCAGAGACTACATCTATCACCAGTGCTTTCAGGTACGTGATAAAGGTCTGTCTTACTACAGCTACTTTCTGTAAAAGTTAAATCTGTTTCTGGATTAGCAAAAGAGTAACATAAACCAGTACAAGTTTTATGTTCTATTTTGCCCATTATTCCAGAAGAAATGAATTTTTAACGTAAGTATCCTATAGAAAGAGAGAGAAAATAAAAACGGAGTTTCAAGCAAGTGACACTAGCACCACAACAGCTAAGAACGCAGAATTAATTTAGGCTAAGCAAGATCCGACAACCATGGCAAAGTCACACCTTTGTGCCGCTTTTTGTGTGCAGAAAGCTCACCATATTAACGGGAGACAGTTTGGAGAGGCAGGTGCAAAGGGGAAGGAACTTCAGCCCAAGAATCAGCTTTGCAGATGTATAGCAAAAACCTGGAAAAGGAGTGCTAGGGGATTTCTGTTCCCTTTCCCTTCTTCCAGCACAGGAAACGAATTCAAGTCATTCATAAACAGAATTTCAGGGGTTTCCTAGAGCCTAAAGTTTGAAGACTTTTTGCTTTACAAGGAAAACAAGGCATGTCGTGAGAAGAACAATTTGCTAACTATAGCGAGGGGAAAAATAAGAAATAAAATGAAAAAGATGACTACTAAAATGATGGGATTTTTTTAATCCTTCCCAGCCAGAAAGGATTTGGATGGACCATTTTCAAGAAACCCCTGGGAATGAGAGTGTTACTTGGAAGACTTGTGATCTACTATTCAGTGATTACTACAGTGCAAATAGTTTTACTCAAATGTGGCCAGAATCTGGTTTAAAAAGTGCTTTTAGTAAGACCTTCTAGTACAACGCCTCAAGTCTGATGTACAATTACTTGTAAATAAAGATCCTTAATATTAAAAGAACAGAAATGACTGTTGGGGATAAGCTTCCAAAATATAATTACTACTACAAATCAAAGGGCAAAGCCTGCCAGAGTGTGCTACCTAGTAAAATTTTTTTTTTTAAACCAAAATATTTTGGGATTATTAAATGACACTTTACAACGGAATTTCTTCAATATAAAGCTAACACAGAGGAGCTGGTCATTTGGGACAGAAACTAAATGTTAAGTTGCAAAAAGGGAAGCTGTAGTAAATCAGGGAAGCTGTAACTTCAGCAAGCTAGATAAAGGACTTGAGCAAGAAGGAAGCTGCCTTCCCCGCTCCGGTTCCTTTAAATCAAGGATGCAAGAACTGTATGAAGACCACGTACAGAAGAAGATGAACTGTTTATTCTGTCTGGAACCTTTCCCCGCTGAATGAAAAGGTATCAACAGCGAAGGGAAGAGACTGCTCACGAGAACAGAAAAAGCACTGGCCAGTTAAGAGCTGTCCTGACAAAGGGCTGCCAGGAGTGAACATGTTAAGATCCTGCTGACAGCAAAGCAAGTAGCAAGGATTCTTCAGCCACAAACAGGGAAGAAGAGTGATGTTACACAATGAGGACTAATTTAAGATTACTTTTAATCTCAAATCCAAGAATTAAGCTATTTGCCCCCATTTTCACTAGCAAGGAAACAGATGGACATTGGTACATCACCAACAGAGGAATATTGATGAAATAAGAGAATGAAAAAAGGGAAGTTATTCTTTTCCTCGCAGTTTTGGAGTGAGCTTATTGTTCTCCCTCAAACCAGGGAGAACAGATCTATGAAGCTAGTACACAAAGTTAACGTCTTAGATCCACAACTTGTTGTATGAAAACACAGTAGCACCACCTCAGTAATAAACCTTTCTGACCTGTTATCAATAGATAGCATGAAAGACTTAAAACTTAGTTTTTAAGAAAAGACATGGGAGGAAAAAAAAGGAAAAAAAATCCAGTAAAATTCAAATTAATCAAGAGTAGAGAGTACCACACAAACTTAGCAGCCTTTCTTCAGTAAAATAACTGACTTTTTTTAGTATCAAGAACTATAACTCATTCATCCCAGCTAGACTTCACAGCCGTGATATGGCACTGAAAACTTGGTTCAAATGGAACGGACTGCAATTAGTAGTAGAAATCCCGCGTAGGTAAACTTCCTAAGGAAAGGATAACAGTTATTGGCTCTGGAAAGACCTACAGAGCTAAAAGGATGCTAACAGTGAAGTTCCTCAAGCCAGGCCTTTCTCTGAGTGACTACAGAAAAAAATAAGACCCCGTGGATGAAATGAACCATAGGAAATCATCTACTGAGAACAGATTGGGACACAGTACAAATGATATTGACTGAAGCAATTAAAAGCCAACAGGACAAAATGGAACAGGCCATGAACCTAGTAAAACTATTAGAAATAACTTCCTATCACACCTACTGCCAGAAAAAATAATGGAACTCAGTCTACACACAATCACACTATGCATTTCTATCACGCCTTCCAACACAAGCCATCAGCGCTGTTTAAGAAGTCAGTGAACTAAGCCTCTACCAGCCCGGGGTAGATAACGTTCTCTCCTCTCCTTCACATGAAGAGACTGACAAAATTAATCGGAAACACAGGTACAACGATCACTGTGTCTTCACTGCAATGCATCACATATAATGCAACAAGAAAGAAAAAACTATAAACCTAAAATGTACCAGAAGTATATCCAAAGAGCAAAAGCACACGTATCAGCCAAGCGGACCATGGTAAGAACAAACTCTTCTGAAGCAATACACACTCATTTTTGCTTCCCATGTTCAAGAGAAGTAAATTCTACATGGAACAGCTGCAGAGAAATGTTCCCACTCATGATGATGGAGAACCTAAGCGCTCAGCTTCTTCACATGGACAGTGAGGCAAGAGGACTGTTTTGTATGCACGCACAAAAAGACCTGGAGCAGGAGGAGAGCTACTCCAATGCACAGGAACAAATGAAAATTAGTTACAAGCAACATTTCAACTTGAAAACTGAAATTTAGTTTCTAATGATCACACCAATGGTATGCTAGAACAACTTTCTAAAACTAAAAAGCAAAGTTAACTAATTGTTACTAAAACATATAACCTCTTTCATAAGTGATGAAAGTGCAACATTGCTGCTCAAGCCAAATCAGTTTCTGAGTGTTTTGAAGTTCCTTTGCAGGTCTGTGTTTTCCTTTGCTTTATGGAAAAATCTCCTATAATAGCATTCTTCCATGGTGAGCCAAAAAAAAAAAAAAAAAAAAATCTACGGACTCTCTGCAAAGCTAGGAGAAGATGCTGCAGATTTGGAGGAGTGGAAAAGAACACAATTTTCCCTAAGCCAGTAAAAAAAAAAAAAAAAAAAAAATCAACTAAAAATCAACAGGACTTCTACACTGTTTCCAAAAGAGTAACAAAGTGTCAAATGGTAGGAAGAGGACAAGAAGTAATTTAATTAAGAGTAAAATGGTTATTAAAAATGTTTCTATCTTCCAACCATCCAAGCCAGTTATTCAGGAATGCAGTATATGTCTTGAGAGATAAATATATCAAAGAAAAGATCTGACAGATCACCCACCCTATGGATGCCTGAAGTTATATAAAGGCTACATAAGAAGCATTTACTTTTTTTTTTAAGGAAATTTTACTTAATAAACATCTGGCAGACTCAGTACTGGCTTCTACTTAGAGCATTAGGCTGGCTTTGCTCTTCAGCATCTGCTCTTGCACACTATTCAAAGGTGGAACCTCTCCAAAATCTCAAAACCATTTCAGCAGCACTGAGCGATTCCAGAAGAAGGCGTTTATCATCTTATTCTAACTCATTCTGTATTTCAGATGACTACACAACCTGATCTAAAAATATGATCCCATACTTCCAGTTTCACTGGGATAGCTTAAGATGTTACGAAGGCCACAACAGAAGAAACAACTGTTTTCAAATATCTAGTTAACAACGGAGATGACAACACATTGTCCATATGAGCAAGTGGTATGCCTTTTGGACACTGGTCTAAAAAAGTCACCTCAAGAGGCACAAAATCTCTGCATAGAGCATTCT